AACAAATAAGGTGGAACCCAAGAACCTGTAACACCTGACATTATCCATTGACCTCCATTCATATGCACCAGCACATACAAAGTGTGTGTGTGAGTGTGTGTGTGTGTGTGTGTGTGTGTGTGTGTGTACATGTGCATTCCCTCAACACACACAAACTAAGTAAAAATAAGGCTGGAGAGATGTTAATAGATCAGTTAAGAGGACTGGAGTTTGGTTCCCAGTAGCCATGTTAAGTGCTTTTTAACTCCAGTCCTAGGGGATATAATGCCCTCAAATCTCCTCTAGCACTCGCACACATGTAGCATACATACAGAGAAACATAAATAAACATAAATAAAAACAAATCTTTTGAAAAAGAAAAACAAATCCATTGCTTGGAGCTTCATCTATTTCTCTATATTTTCATTTTCTGTTGACACCTAGATATCTTCCTTCGTCCAGAACACCCATCAGACCTCTGGGTGATACTTAGATGCTTATACCATCAGATTATTTTAAGAGGAGAAAAGCCCGGCAGTGGTGCATGTCCTTAACCCAGAACTCAGGAGGCAGAGGTAGGCAGATCTCTGTGAGTTCAAGTCCAGCCTGGTCTACACAGTGAGTTCCAGGCCAACTCCGGCTACACAGAAAAATCCTGTCTCAAGAAAAAACTAGAGGGGGGAGAGCTGGGTAGGTGGCTCAATGGTTAAGAGCACTTACTGCTCTCAAAGAAGATCAGTTCCCAGCACCCATATGGCAACCTTCCATAATCCCAGTTCTAGAGTATCTAATGCCAGAAAAGAGACTTCAAGGGCACCAGGCACACATGTAGTGCATACAAGCAGGCAAAACATTCATGCACATAAAAGTAAAAATCTTTTTTTTTTTTTTTTAAAGCTCAGGATATATAAATCTTAGCTACATTCCAAAATCCTTTTCTAAAACTTCTGGGTGGGTGGGTGGGATTCTATCAAGACCCCACTGCTAAGGTAAACCCAGGAGAAAGGCATTCAAGTGTTTGCTGCATTTACTGTCTTAGGCAGCCTGGGCCAACAAATTAAAAAAAACATACTGTAAGTTTAGTGAACTTCAACAAAGACACAGATTGTGTGACCTGAGAGTTATAAGCTGAAATAAACACTTTCATTTCCAAGTTGCTCTTGGTAATGATGTTTTATCAGAGCAGTAGAAACCTAAGACACTTATCACTGTGAAAGTAGCACATCTTTACGACAGACTGCTTGCTTATAACAAAAATAAACACATACTATAAACTCGTAAAAAACTGAGTTCAAATCTTTATGTATCTTTTACAGAAGCTATAAATTACTTCAAATCACATGGCCTAAATTAAACTGTCACAATTTCTTTATCTGCAAAAGAAAGTATTATGAAATTTAAAATCATTAGTTATAAATATCTGTGTTACCTAGCATGCATTTGCTAAATGGCAATCAAAACTTTTGACATAATCATTACTATCACCAGTAATAAATATTTAATGTAGTCTGTTTAGCAACTCATCTTACTTCAATCCTCCACTTCCAGTCATATATAAGAAAAGATAACTTGAAAATCTGTTTCCTGTACAAAATCTACAGCAGTGAATAAAATATAACAAGCATCTTATTCTTAGGCAAAGCAGATATTTAAGAAAGAAAATGAATCAAAAGACAAAGAGTGGTGGTGGGGAACCAAACAGAAGTTTAAATAATGAGCTGTTATCAGGCTGCTTTGGTAAAGTGTGTGGGTTCTGACCATCAAAGAAATTGCTTTTTATAGACACTAACGTTAGGAGATAAGGATATGTATGTATAGGCCCCAAGAGGGTTGAAGCCTGAATTTACCTGCATAGAGCTAGGGTCTACTCTGGCTCGGTGGTAGATATCTGTAATTCCAGTACTTGGGAGATAAAAGTTGAATTCAGAGTTCAAAGTCATCCCTGACTACATAGTCAGTTAAAGGAAGCTGCAAGCACATGACACCCTGTCTCACTACACTAAGGTAAAAACAAAGAAGCTGGAAACTTAAGTCTGGCCAGTCTAAATAAAATAAATGAATAAAACATTCATTTGTTTACAGTAACACAACAGGAAAATGAGTTTAAAAAGAAAAGTCTATGAATTTGAAAGCTTAGTTTGAGTAAAAGTGAATATTTAAGCTACCTACAGGGTGCTAGAAATGATAGCAGAGAAATTAAAATTCCAGGATAATAGTATTATTCACTGATTAGTAGACAAAAAAAAAAAAATTTCCTCTCCCTATAACATATAAATTATCTAATTCTCACAGTCATCCTATTAAATATCTATGTTATCTTAGTTTACAAAAAAAAAATCAGTTTGGGGAAGTTAAATCAATTATCTAATGTCATCCAGGTATTCACTGACAGAGCTAAATTTTGAATTTGGCTGTTCATTCAATTAAAATACACTGCCAAACTCTACCATGAGCCCAGCAGAGACAAAGTTTGTTCCCTTTTCCAAAATAACATGCTGCCTGATCTTTTTAGTGCAAATCACCAAGTGTAACTGCTTCCTACCTCCTCACGCTTAGCAATTCCTAAGAATGAAATTAGCAGCAAATAGGAAACTGACACCATGGAGTAGCCCAGGAGTTCTGCCTGCTAAAACAACTTAGTTGCCGCTGGACAAAAAAAAAAAAAAAAAAAAAAAACAAAAAAAAAAAAACACAAAAACAAACAAAAAGACACCTCACTTTATTGGGAACACCCTGAACCAAAAGGGAAAAAGCAAAAGTTCCCTGAGCTGGGTCTATCCTAGCTACTGAAAATAATAACATATTTAAAATAAACATATAATAAAGTTCAATCAAAATATTTTACTATGAACATTAATAAGAATGAGAGAGCTATTGAGATAAACACAACAGGTGAGACTAAAGTTAGAGATAACTACTATTATCCTATCAAACCAAACTCCTAATACAACTCAGAGTGTTATTTGAACGTACATTATTGAAATCTGTATTTAAATTAAAAACATAAACAGCTGAGGCTGAGTGTGTAGCTCAGGGGGTAGAGTATTTGTCTAGTATGTGCAAAGCTCTGGGTTTAATCCTTAGCACAACAAAAAACTAAATAGAGAGATGGCTCAGCAGTTAAAAACACTGACATAATATAAGCTGACAAATAGAAGCTGGGCATCGGGGCCCATGCCTTTGGTCGGAGGCAGGGAATCCCTTTGAGTTCAAGACCATCCTAGTCATCACAGAAAGTTCCAGAAAAGCCAGACTGCTACACAATGAGATCTTGTCTTTAAAACAACAACAAACAAACAAAAAGCAAAATTGCTGGGTGTGGTGAGCACTCTGGAAGCAGAGGCAGGCAGACCTCTGTGAGTTTGAGGCCAGCCTTGACATCCAGGGCTATGAACATAGGCCCTGTCAAGAAAAGAAAAAAAATCAACTTCAGACAATAGGGTCTCAGAGATACCTTTACTTCTAGTCTATATAGCATCTATAGTAAAACACATAAGAAGAAATTTAAAGAGAATTGGCAGAGTTCACAGCTTCCATTCCATCAGTGGCTCTATGCTGGGACCAAACTCTCCTATTCTCCAACTCCAATCCCACTACCAAATTTTTAGCTACTTTTCCTATTCATCACTTCTTTCCTACAGTCAAGAATTGGCTATACATTCTTTTTTTGTGTTGGGGGATTGAACCCAGGACCTCTCACATGTTAGGTTTGACTCTATTAGTGATGATAGCCTCTAATCCTAACATACTTTGTAACCAATGTGTATGTATATTTATAACATTACTTTATCTTGATTTCTATTCAATGGTTTTGAAGGCTGTGATGTGCAAAATATAAGCTAGATACCTTAAGATACATTTTTTTCATTCAATTCTATTGTTGAACATCCTACCTACCTTTACTTGTAAATAAAAGTATTATCAGGCACTTAACTTCATACCAGATATTAAATGCTCCCCTGCCTTACAGTAGCCTGTGCTAGTCTCAAACTCATGGAAATTCTCCTGTCTAAGCCTCCCAAGTGCAGGAACTGTAGTTGTGAGCTACACAACTCCTTCATTACTTCGTGGTAAATTTCTTGAGGAATAAGGTTAGATAGTCAGAGAATAACAACATTCCAAACAAAAGAACAACATACATAAAAGCAGAAAAAAAAAAATCACTTGAATGTAAGAGTTTTTAAAAAGATCAGTCTTCAGAATCAACCACTTGGGTTCAATTAATTAATTTTGATTCTGTGGTGTCCACTATGTCTATGTTTTTCTCATCTGTGAAATGGTCATAATAAACTACATTGTATGGGATTTACTTTAAAATAAAATGGGGGCCCAGAGAGATGACTCAGCAGTTAAAGGCACTTGTTCAAAGTCTGATGGCCTGAGTTTGATTCCCACATAGTAGAAGGAGAGCACCAACAAGGTTGTCCTCTGACTTCCATGCATATATCAGAGTGTAAAACACACACACACACACACACACACACACACACACACACACACAAAATGTAAAATTCATTTTAAAAATAAAAGTGAAATAAGTTACTAAAGGTACCTACCACAGGACAGGGCCATGACAGGTGCTCAGCAAGTGTTAACTTCCCTTTTGTTGATAATTCAATAACCTTTAACCAGGAAAGCTACTTCTGCTGCTGGGCATGTTGGCACACACCTTTAATCCCAGCACTCAGGAATTGGGTTGGTAGATCTCCGTAAATTCCAGGCCAAGCTGGTCTACATAATGAGTTCCAAGACAGGAAGATCTAAAAGCTACATAGTGAGACATTGCCTCTCTTCTCTACTTCCATCACTATGGGACCCTAATACATCTTCCCAGCTTCTCAAGGTTTGCCATGGCTTTTGGAGCCCTGGAGTAAACTGTAAACCACTCAGCAAATTAGAGCTATTCATGGAAGAAGTGAAAAAAGTATAGTGGAAGTAAAAATAACCAAAATTCACAAAATAAATATAAGAAGCTATCAAAGAATAATTGAAAAACAACAATCCATTCTTATATCACTCACCAGTGTAGGCCATGTTCTTAGGGTTGCCATAAGGAGCCCCAGGTTGCACGGGGCTGTAAACAGGATTCATTGTGGAAGACTGAGGATCCTACAGCAAAGACAAATAAAACAGCATTGATTATTAATTGCTCATTCCCTCTGATCATCTTCTCCTCTAAAGCCTTCAATTATGCTCAAAGGGAAGCATCATGGTATAAGAAAAAAAAGGACTAAACAGAATGTAATACTTTTCCCATTTTACAGAATGAAGAATGACATAGCAGAGAAGTGATTTAATGTCAATTCAGCCATTTCAGGCTCTCAGTTTAATATTAGTCCCAGTATCCCATAGAGAATTCTGACAGTAGTGTAGCATTGGCCAAATCACTTTTCCTCTTTGGATGTCAATATCCTAATATTAAATAGACTAGTTGACCTCTGAGCTTCTTTCTATTTCTAATGATGCTAACTCACAAGCTGGAAAATGACATGTTTTTACAGTTCACCAAGGCAGCCTGGGTGTCTGGTGGTGATCACTTAGTCTGCTAGAAGAAAGAACAACAAATGTCTTATTCACCCCTTGTGTCCATAGAGCAAAAGATAAAAAGCTACTAACGGCTTGAAAGGAAAAAAGGAGGAATTTTTATTACACCTATTTGTGTACTCATGCACATGCTACAGTGTCATGTGAAGGTCGGAGAACAACTTGCAGAAACTGGTTCTCTTCTTCCATTATGTGTGTCCCAGGGACAGAACACAGGTTGTTAGACCTAGCCACAGCATCTCTACCTACCGAGCCATCTTAATGGTCCCCAAAGAGGAAATTTGATGCCATTGAACATGTTAATGCAAAAAAAAAAAAAAAAAGACAGCCAAGAGCCAAGACTTCTTGCCAAATTTACTCAAGGGAAAGAAATAAACTTGGAAAGCTGTGTGCAATAACTATCACCTGCATAAGAGCTCTGTTAATTACCTTAATGAAGGACATTCTCCATTCTGATTAATGGAAACACTGTCATTAAGCCCTATTAACCAGCTAATTTGTCTAACCATCTTGTTTAGAGAGTCATATCTTACACATAAGCTGACACATGTTTGAATATATCCAGATATATTACTTACACTCCATAAAAATCAAGCAATTCTCTCCTAACTATGTTTACGTGATAGATGGGCAATTTTTTAGGTCATTAACTTCTGCTGCACCCCAGGATAGGGAACAAGTTAAATGCTGAAGGCAGGCAGTGAACATCTGGTTGGATGACAGTGGCTCTGTGACTAATTTAGTCTGTCCAGGACTCTGGAATAAAAGGTGGAGAATTGATTGGTTCCCAAGGATAGGATGAGAGTACCATCAGATAGGCAAACAGGAAATGCCACTGGCAAATTTCATAATCTAGAACTTTCATAAATCTACCCAATGCAAAATCCTGGCAAACAATGCCAGAATTAACAGGGTCAATACACTCACCTACAAAACTTGAGGATGTATGTTAAGAGAAGGTATGTGTATTTTCAGCTTAACTGAGCAAAAAAGCATTTTCACAACCAGAGCTGAGAATTAATTTTGATGTTAAACTTACCTGCTAACTGTAAAGTGATATGCAGATATAAACAATGTGGGACAATGGCGCTGCTGTGCAGATAATAGAGATGACTGCTTGAACACTTTTCCCTAATTAGACCCTCTCCTTAACTAGTTCTCTGCCTAACAAGTCAGTGTTAAGACTGTTGAAACGCTGCCGTGGCTTGACTGTAGAATCCACTAAAAAGCATGTGTATGAAACTTAATGGCCACTGTAACAATAATAAAGAGGGATCTGTTCTCATGAACTGATAAATACTGTTATACTAGGAGAGGGTTCATCATAAAGGATAGATGTGGTTTCTTGTGTTCTTTCTCTTACCCTCTTGTTTGTTCTCCTGCTCTTCTGGCACAGCAAAAAGGCCTTTGCCAGACACCTGCACTTTTTACTGAAGTTCCCAACTCCAGACCCGTGATCACACAAATTTCTTCTTTTTATAAATTATCTGATCTATGGTACTATTACAGCAGCATGAAACAGACTAAAACATGTGCTGGGCAACACAACTGGCCCTACAAACATCTGCACATTCTCCTACTGAGAACACACCCTGTGCTGTTGATTGGACAAAATGTGAAATGCTTTCATAATCAAAAAAACTCATCAGCTGTGAAACAGATCTCCTGCTGCTCCAAAATGAGAGCCACAGACAGACATAGGAGCCCATGACATGGACATAACAACATCAATTCATTCCCAACCAGTAACTGACAGAGAAGACATCTGCCAGGGTCTAATTTTTGTAATAAGCCAAGTACGGTGATGCAAAGCTATAATCCCAACACTGAAAAAAAAAAGAAAGAATGAAAGAAAAGAAGAGAAGAGAAGAAAAGAGAAGAGAAAGGAAAAGAGCCATGGCAGAAGGTTGGCTGTGAGTACACAGTAACATTGTCTCAAAAGTAAACAAACAAAAAATTAAAATAAGACTACTATAGCCACTTCTGGGGAACTGCTGAGATCAGAGTTCCTAGCTTCCAAGGGATTATTCTTTGAAACAGAATCTGTATATTGCTCATTTTTCCAAGGACAGACTGAAAAACTATCAGCTAAAATCACAAGTTCTATTGTCAAGCAGATTCAGGTTCTACATACATATCAACCACAGGCAAGTGTTCTAGCCATTCTAAGCCTTGGTTTCCTCTAGTCTCAAAATGGAAAAGAATACTACATATAAGGTTGTTTGTTAGTTTGATTTTTTGAGACAGGATTTCTCTGTGTAACAGCCCTGACTTTCCTGGAACTCACTCTGTAGACCAGGCTGGTCTCCAACTCAAAAATCCACCTGGCTCTGGCTTCCAAGTACTGAAATTAAAGGCACGTGCCACCACTGTCCAGCAAAAAGTTTTTTGTTTTATTAAGGTAGAATTTTTTTTTGAGGTTGAATTTATACATAGTAAACTTTACTCTTTTTAGAAATATAGTTCTGAGCCTAAAAATGTATTCAATTATACAAATAACTACAATTCTATAATTCAGATATAAAAATATCTTATCACTTTCAACTATATCTTTTTGGCCAATATCCTGCCTTACACTCAGTTTCTGACAATAACACATCTATTTTTGTTGTTGTAAGAGTTTTCTTATACATTAGATATCTATATATACAATTCTTTATTAAATAGTTAACTGGCGTTGTTCTTATTTAAGATGAGAGTAAAAGTACTAAGAAACAAAAAAAAATCACAAAAGTTGACCAACTGTACATTTTTTTGAATATTCATCTTTTTCCAGATGGACAGTCTAAAATAGTCCTATCCAATATAACATTATGTACTGGCAGAAATATTTTTAAAATTTGTTTATTTATTGTGTGTAGTATGTGTGCCTGAATGAGTTTATGTGCACCATGTGAGTGTAGGTGCTCACAGAAGTCAGAGTATAGGATCCCCTGGAACTGGAACTACAATTGTGAGCTACCAGATGTGGGTGGTGGGAACAAAACCCAGGTCCTCTGAAAGAGCAGTAAGTGCTCAGAATTGCTAAGCCATCTCTGCAGCCCCAAGGTATCAACTAGGGATGTACTAAAAGGCAGAGTCTTTCATAGCATGCACAGGCTTTGGATTTGAGTTTTTGTTTCACATACCCTCCCACACCCCTGTACTGAGAGGGAGGAAGGGAAAGATCTTATACCTGTGTTGGCTATTAATCTCCTGAATACAGCTTGAGAGGATAAGAGAGTTTTAGTTTTATTCATTTATTAAATGTTGGCATTTATTCAGAATAGTATATTTTTTTCAGAAAAAAATTTATGCATATATTTTACAAAAGTAGCATTAGACCATACTTGAAAGGTTCCTTATATGTCTAAGTGTTTTCCGTTATGTCATTTTATATACTACAAATAAAAGATTTCAAGAGTTTGAATTAACTACATTTAGTTAAATGAACTGATTCCATTTTACAGATGAAAAATGAGCCTCAGAAAGGGCAAATTAACCATGCAAAACCATAAAACAGAGGATAGAATTCAGAATAGCACCCAAATCAAAGACTTAGGAGCTAAAAATATAAATCCCTTAGAAGCACTAGGAGGAAGATGGGGGAATGCACCTTCATAATCTTTGTTTGGCAATACTCTCCCAGATATGCTATAATAGCAAAGGAGGGGGGAATAAAGTAGATTTAAGCAAACAATTTTATTGTATTATTATTATTATTTTGATTTAAGAGGAACCCTTAGCCAGTGTGGTGGCATATCCCAGTAACTCAAGAAACTGAGGCAAGAATCTCAAGTTCCAGACTAGACTGGGCTACATATATAATATAGCCCTACATTCAAAACAACATAAAAGCCAGGCCTGGTGGTGCAGGGCTATAATCTCAGCTACTTGGGAGGCTGCAGAAAGGCATCTTTCAGAGTTCCTGCAAGTTGTGCAAAGAAGTCCTGAGTTGCCACAGGTGTGGAGGTGGGCTTGTTAGTGTACAACTGTCTCTGACTCTCCCACTTCTGTCAGCATCTCCTCCTTTATACTACTCTCTCTAAGTAATTTACCAACTTCAATTCAGAAAATGCAAATCACTAATTTGGTCTGTAGTGAATTCCTCAACTGGGGTGACTAGATGTGTAAGTCATGTCTCTCCAGAAAAAGTTTGTTCTACAAGTATGATGGCCATGTATGTCATTCCTGCACTCAGGAGGCAGGATTGGTAATTCAAGGTCAATCTGTATTGCAAAGTAAATTTGAAGCCAACCTGGGCCTTAGACACTAGATCTTGGTATGCTGGCAAGCCTATAGTTCCAGTCCTCAGGAAGAACCCAGAGAATTATGAGTTCAAGATCAGCCTAAACTACACAGTGAGACCCTGTCTGGAAGAAACAGAAGAATATTTTTTAAAAACTGACTATACTTATTACTATCTTGCCCCCCCATATATATATGGTTTTTTTTTTTTTTTTTTTTTTTTAAAGACAGTGTAACCCAGACTGGTGTCAAACTTGAAACAATCATTTTACTTCAACATCCCAATTGATAGTTTTTCTTAAACATAGGATAGACAAGCACATTAATCTTTTCAAAGG